AACAAAGATATAGGATATTACAGGGTGTTAAAACGACCCACTAACACGAGTCACTGAAAAAGTTAGACTATCAACTATCGCGAGCAGTGACCACAAGTATACGGTAACTCCCTGTTGTTACGGACACTTTCGCGAGCATTGACCACAAGTATACGGTAACTCCCTGTTGTTACTGACACTATCGGGAGCAGTGACCACAAGTATACGGTAACTCCCTGTTGTTACTGACACTATCGGGAGTAGTGACCACAAGTATACGGTAACTCCCTGTTGTTACTGACACTATCGGGAGCAGTGACCACAAGTATACGGTAACTCCCTGTTGTTACTGACACTATCGGGAGTAGTGACCGCAAGTACACGGTAACTCCCTGTTGTTACTGACACTTTCGCGAGCACTGACCGCAAGTACACGGTAACTCCCTGTTGTTACTGTTTTCTCGACGTTGACCACAAGTATACGGTAACTCCCTGTTTATTTACTCACACTTTTCCGCGAGAGCATTGACCACAAGTATGCAGTAACTCCCTATTTATTACTGACACTTTCCGCGAGCACTGGCCACAAGTATACAGTAACTCCTGTTGTTACTAGCTACTATCGCGACACTGGCCGCAAGTATGCAGTAACTCCTGTTGTTACTCACACTTTCGCGGCATTGATACAAGTATGTTAACTCCCTGTTGTTGCGAGCACTTTCTGAGCACTATTACAAGTATGCAGTAACTCCCTGTTGTTACTGACACTATCTCATGACACTAGCCACAAGTATGCGGTAACTCCCTGTTGTTACTGGACACTTTCGCGAGCATTGACCACAAGTATACGGTAACTCCCTGTTGTTACTGACACTATCGCGAGCACTGGCCACAAGTATACGGTAACTCCCTGTTGTTACTGACACTATCGCGAGCATTGCCACAGAGTATACGGTAACTCCTGTTGTTACTGACACTTTCGCGAGCATTGACCACAAGTATACGGTAACTCCCTGTTGTTACTGACACGGCACAAGTGTTGAGACAGTACAGTACCTCCCAGGGCAGAAGCTCACCTTGTTCAACACGCCTTTAGTCTGTTTAATAACCCGATGGCTAATCTTCCCGTCATTATTCATTTTTCTATTATTAAACATGTCAAAAAAACACTAGACATTATTGATGCTATACAGTACACAGAAAACAACAGAGAATATCATAGCTTCACTGACACACACTTTAACAATAGCAGTGAGACAGCAGGTTGTAATACAGACATCAGCTGGTACTTAGTTCAGCACAGACAAACGCAATAGGTAAATAAATAATGACATAGGGAGAATTATGAGTATAAAATAGCTTAAAAAAATACAATAATAATAATAAGAATAACAACACGAGGCCATAACAGAGTGAGTCAGTCGAGGGAACACCGTGACGCCCGCAGGAAATTAAGGCTCTTCACAGCCAGATAGTGAGGCCATGTGAGGTTATTGTGAGTCAACCCCACACACTGTACTGAACTGAACTCTTGCCGGGTAATAACAGCCACGTGTGCCTCATGGTGGTATTCTATACACATACAGACACACACACACGTGCACACAGACATTTACACACAGACATACACACAGACATATATACATACATAGACACAAACACACACAGACAAAAACACACACACACATACACAATCCTTTCAGTGAATAAATTAAAATTTTTACTTACAAACTTTAATATCTTCAATTTCTTTTAAGTACAGAAGTTTTGAATTTCTTTTATAGTTATACCCAAAGAAAAAAATAACTTTATAATAAAACAATTCCTTGTGATAAAAGTCATTAGAGAATATTAATATACTTTTAGATTTCGTGAAAATTTGAATAAAAAATAAAAAAAATAAATAAAAAAAATAAAAAAAATACATAATAATAATAAAAAGTAATAAAAGTATTTCTCCTAAATGAATAATTTTAATATTACTGAGACACAAAAATCCAGATAATTACTGTAATTAATCTGTATCAATTAAGGAAAATCTTAACATATCAAAATTTTCTTCCTAAATTACACCAAATAAAAAAAACAAAACGATAATAGAAAAAAACCGCAATTATTGAAGATTATTTTAAGTGTAAAATAATTCCACATCAGAGACCCCTTCACTTTAAGTGTTAATTGACCTTCGTTTTATTTCCTAACTTTATCACGATCTTTCTTCACCTCATCTATTTTATTAGTTTCAATTTCCTCTTCTTCTTTTTTGTTCTCTAAATATAAGTTTTTATTATTATTTTTAATTTAAGAGTTGAAGATTAGTTTCATTTTCTCTCTATCTCTACTTAACTTCCTGTTCTTATTTGTTCGTATTTATTTAATTTTTATTATTATTATTCCATTTCGCTGTTTATTTCGTTCACTGATTTCGGAGATAATTTTTGAGTGGTTTAAATCTTCAATCTCTCTTGTTTACTTTACCTCCCCCTCCCCCCCCCCACCTACTGAAGAATCATCCCCTCCCCCCCCTTCCCCACCTACTGAAGAATCATCCCCTCCCCCTTCCCCCCCCCACCTACTGAGAACCCTCCTCCCCACCTACTGAAGAATCATCCCCTTCCCTCCCCTCCCCACCTACTGAAGAATCATCCCTTCCCCCCCTCCCCACCTACTGAAGAATCATCCCCTTCCCCACCTACTGAAGAATCATCCCTACCCTCCCCTTCCCCACCTACTGAAGAATCATCCCCTTCCCCACCTACTGAAGAATCATCCCTTCCCTCCCCTCCCCACCTACTGAAGAATCATCCCTACCCATCCACTCCCCACCTACTGAAGAATCATCCCCTTCCCCCTTCCCCACCTACTGAAGAATCATCCCCTTCCCTCCCCTCCCCACCTACTGAAGAATCCCTTCCCCCTTCCCCACCTTCATCCTTCCCCCCCTCCCCACCTACTGAAGAATCATCCCCTTCCCCCCTTCCCCCACCTACTGAAGAATCATCCCCTTCCCCCTTCCCCACCTACTGAAGAATCATCCTTCCCCCTTCCCCACCTACTGAAGAATCATCCCTTCCCCTCCTCCCCACCTACTGAAGAATCATCCCCTTCCCCCCACCCCCTCCCCTCCCCACTGAAGAATCATCCCTTCCCCACCCCTCCCCACCTACTGAAGAATCATCCCTTCCCTCCCCTCCCCACCTACTGAAGAATCATCCCCTTCCCCACCCCCTCCCCACCTACTGAAGAATCATCCCCTTCCCTCCCCCTCCCCACCTACTGAAGAATCATCCCTTCCCTCCCCACCTACTGAAGAATCATCCCTTCCCCCTCCCCACCTACTGAAGAATCATCCCTACCCCCCCCTCCCCACCTACTGAGAATCATCCTTCCCTCCCCCTCCCCACCTACTGAAGAATCATCCTTCCCCTTCCCCTCCCCACCTACTGAAGAATCATCCCTTCCCTTCCCTCCCCACCTACTGAAGAATCATCCCCTCCCCCCTTACTGAACACTGCCCCTACCTCTTCCCCTGCCCCACCCTCTCTCTAAGTCTTGGTTGTTATTAATTCTCGTCATTTTTATCATAAGTTTACGTTCGTTTATTTCATTTGTTCTTCTGTTGTTTTATCGTGTCATTAATTTTCGTTTTCCTTTGTTTGTTTTTTGTTTACATGTTTTCTTTTATCATTGTTGTCTTCGTATTTTTTTGGTTGTTTGTTCTTGTTTGCCCTTAATTACGATGACTTAACACCTTGATTACGATGACAACACGCTAGTACTATGACAACACCTTTGGTGATGACAACACGTGATACGATGACTTAACATTGAGTACGATGACTTAACATGAGTTAAGTAATTATACTCAGGGTTAAGTCATCGTATAACAAATTCAATTAATACAACATTCCTCCACACACTTCTCTATCGTTCACATCCACCATTACTGTAAATTTAAAATGGTTTCACTTTCTCATTTCCTCATTATTCCCTTCTTCTGATCCTCCTCTCTCTCTCTCCCCCCTCCTCCTCCCTCTCTCTCCTCCCTCCTCCTCCCTCTCTCCCCTCCTTCTCCCTCTCTATCCCCCCCTCCTCCTCCTCCTGTTCCCGCTGATAGGTTGCATTGGTTCTGCTTTAAGATCACCTGAAGATTAGACACCCTAGCTCTACCTTGGGGGAAGGTTACGTTAGGTTATCATTTAATCATTAGGTGAAATAATAAGCTAGGGTGTCTTATCTTCAGGTGAGCCTTGACTTTTCCTTTGTGACTTAATCTTAATTATTTCTATTATTAAAGTCTATGAAGTTTATATGCAAGTTAGCGCCATTCCTTTGTCTCCCGTTAGTGAGTCAATGGTGTATAGAGTGTAGACACAGTAAACAAAGACCTGTTTATAACCTACGTCAGTGAGGGCTGGCGGTAACTTCTCTCAGTGAAAAGGTTAATCATGTCCGGCACTCATATAGCTGACTGACGCCGTTAAAAAAAAAAGGACTTGTGAAATCGAATCGTTTGTAAACAAAAAGTTTCAGTGGAGCCGAGTGTTGTGTTTGACTTGGTGAGACGCCGGACTCTCCCGGGAGTTATAGCAAAATCAATCACAGATGCTTGCGACATTTCCATAAAGTCAATTATTTGAGTTCCTTCGAGTTTAGGTGAGAAGTGAGACTCAGCGCCGGTAAGTGTAAACAGTGAAGTTCCTCACCCGGCTGATATCACGTTTACATATTTTAATAAACACTATTTTGGCTACGTTTAGTGAGTTCAATTTCTGCCCTTTCTGATATGACGTCTAAATGTTTTTAATAACAGAGGGATATGTTTTGGGCTAAACTCAGTCACCCCAGTGCTTGAATTTTCATTAATGAGAAGCCGACCTGTGACCAAAAGCCCTCCTGCCTAGTACCATCACCATCCACATCGTACTCTAACTTACCTTTAATACTAATTACTTACATCAAAGGCAATTTTATCACCTGTATCCACGCTAAAAAAATAAATAAAAATTAATAATTCAATA